CGATCCAACAAACCGCTTGTTTGCTATAAGTGTTTAGAAGAGGGACACCGCAAAGAAAATTGTCGTGGTGTATTTCGATGCCTGTACTGTAAGGGGACTGGACATTTTAGAAATGAGTGTCCGAAGCTTGCGAGTCAACCAACATCTGCTGCAAGTTCTTCATTCGAAGTGTGTATTCGTGGAGTGCATGGGGATACCGACGTAGCTAACAAGTTAGTAGCAAGTAGCCCAACAGCCTCCATCGTTCTCGCTGGCGTAGAATTAGGATGTGTTATCGATACCGGTGCCGAGACTTCTCTCATCCCTGCAGATGTCTATGAGACGAAGATTAAACATAGAATAGGTGGCAAGATACCTAAAGTCACATATCTTGATATATATGGTGCCAATGGTGAACCAGTAGAAATTCAAGGCTATGTAGAGCTGCCTATGGAATATGGTACTACCAAATTGACTGGAAGCTTCCTGATCACAAAGAGTAATACAGGCAAGAGAAGCATGCAACATCCAATCCTGCTGGGATGCAACATTTTAAGAAGGTTGACAAATTTAAGAGTCCCGCAAACCGATAAATTTGCTTGGAATTTTGTGCGAGGCTTATTGGCAGACATTCCCGAACCTAAACAACCCAAATCCATCCAAAATGGCCTTGTCGGAGAGTTGCAGGTGGCTAATGAAGTTACAGTGCCCGCCTACAGTGTTAGGAGAATAACCTGCCAAGTACAGGATGTTAAAGGTACCGTATTAGTAAGCCCTATTGAGACAAAAACACAACTGGAGGTGTTAGAAGGATGTGACTCTGTAAAGAACAGTTTCGTCCGAGTGATGGCACTTAACGTTGATTGAAGGTATACTCTACAGAATACACAAGGACGAAATTCATGGTGATGTCAAACAATTCGCTGTCCCAGAATGTCTACGGAAGAAAGTGTTAGAAATGCTGCATGATGAATGGGGGGCATCAAGGAGTGACGCGTACACTTAACTTGTTGTATTCCAGATGCTACTGGCCGAATGCTAAGACAGATGTTGGGCAACACATTAAAAATGTTTTAGGTGTGCTGTTAGCAAGACGCAGGTACCTGCAGTCCGTCCGCCGTTACGGCATTTACTTGCTTTTAGACCCTTGGAGTTATTAGCAATCGACTTCTTGAAGCTTGACAAAGGTAAAGGCGGGATCGAAGATGTTCTGGTAATGACGGATGCCTTTACTAAATTTGCTGTAGCGAGACCAAACCGCTAAACGAGTAGCTGTGGCCTTGCGTGACAATTGGTTTGCTTATTATGGTGTACCCGATCGGATACATGCTGATCAGGGTAAGAACTTCGAGAGTTCATTAATTAAAGAGCTATGCCAGCTGTATCAGATCAAGAAGTCGCGTACATCAGGATATCATCCCGCTGGAAATGGGCAGACAGAGCGGTTTAATAGAACACTGTGTGCCCTACTTCGATCAATTAAACCCGCGGAAAAGAAGAGGTGGCCGGATGTGATCGCACACATCGTCTTCATGTATAATAGTACGCCTCACCGAGTGACCGGGGTAACTCCCTATTTATTAATGATGAATCGGGAACCAAAATTGCCGATTGATCAGCTGTTGTCCCGCTCAGATGCAGATTAGTCTGAAGACTATGTAAAATCACAGGAGAAGTTAATGAAGACAGCTCATGAAGTAGTGAAACGTCGACTCATTTCTGCAGCTGAGGCTGAAGAAAAACGGCATAAGGCAAGTAACTGTGAGACTTTTTCTATATGTACTAGGGTCCTGTTACGTAAAGAGCAATTCGATGGCAGGCACAAGCTTGAAGATAAATTTGAAGACAAGTCTTTTATTGTTGTCAGTGTTAATGAAGAGAAGGACGTGTACGAGATTAAGCCTTCCTGTGGTGGTCAGAGTAAAAGAGTAAATCGTCGACGACTGATTGCTGAACCTAGGCAGTACGATGATGGCGACGAAGGAGAAATGTTAACAGAAGTGGTCTCTGGTGATAATTCAGATAACGCATCCAATGAGTCTTCCGCCGAGTCGTCTGACGAGTTATCCGATGAAGAAATTACTGAGTGGACTTATCTTGCAGATATTAGTTTTTGCTTTTCGGGTCGAAAGCAAATCAAATTGGGGAAGATGTCGGGAACCGAAATTTTATTGTTTATTTAATTAGAACTACTTTTTTTACATAAGCACGCGCTCGATTATTCTGTGAGTGCTGTTTATTAGCGCAGTGATTTTTCATAGAGCGTCTCTGTTCTGTGGCTTAGCGCGCGACTTGCGAACACAAGGCAGTTGCGGGTCCGTTTTGCATGAGGCAAGACGTATGTGTAGAGACACTGATTGATTCTGGTTACTTCTGAAGAGTAACTGTTGTCTGCAGTTGACTGGGGTTGTTTTTGTAGTTACAATTGATGTTGCAGTTAATAAACGTTATACAACGTATACAAGTCTTAGTTCATTCTTTGGCTCATTGACTCACGACATAAAACATTGGTAGGTTAAGGAAGGTTCATAGAGCCATCAAAAGACGTTTGATTTTATTTTCATGTAAAATTAAGTTAAATATACATAGAGTTTTTACAGGCTAGGCCTCGGCCCCTGACATTTGTTGTATGACAACGCGACATGGCTGGATGTGATGATTGCGTGAGGCCTCGCCACGATTTCCTGACAGTTTCTTTTACTTGTTTAGACATCCAGTCTGCCAAAGTTATTGGTGTGAATTTAGGAACATTATTCAATAATTTTGAATAACTTATCTCTCCTTGAAATCTGCAAGTACAACACATTTCATGAGTTTTGCAACAAACACATTCATCGACCGACACCATGATTCACTGTAAGTGAATACACGGCTGCCGTCGTCGTGCTGTAACACAGGCCCTAAAATAGTATGATTTATTCTCGTTATATTTTACATTTGGCATACACAATCGCTCAACTTTACACACAAAGCGTGTATGAGACGTTTTAGTAAATGCTATTTTCTTAAATTACTGTGTAAATTAATTATCTAGATGTGTATAAGAGACAGATCCTCTTGTGCACCTCGTGCCTGCAAAGTTAGGAGCAACTGAACACAGATGGGTAGCTCAACTGGCAACATACAACCTGGAAGTAAAGTATAAACCAGGAAAGGAGAACAAATGCGCCGATGCGTTAAGCCGGACTGTTTCTGCGAATGAAATAGTTAGCAGAGTATCCGAGAGTCTTCCTAAACAAGAACTAGAAACAGTTGTAGTAAGGAGAGTTTGTGAAAGTCGCCCTGTTGTATTCCCTTCTTACAGTGATCTGCAACTGTACCAGTTCCAGTGCGAGTCACCAGTAATTAGTAAGATCTTGCATATGAAAGCAAAAGGTTGGGAGCCAGGCGATGACTACGACAGGTCTGTTGAAGAATTGCATAGTTGGGTGAGACAATGGAATCACTTAACGTTGATTGAAGGTATACTCTACAGAATACACAAGGACGAAATTCATGGTGATGTCAAACAATTCGCTGTCCCAGAATGTCTACGGAAGAAAGTGTTAGAAATGCTGCATGATGAATGGGGGCATCAAGGAGTGACGCGTACACTTAACTTGTTGTATTCCAGATGCTACTGGCCGAATGCTAAGACAGATGTTGGGCAACACATTAAAAATGTTTGAGGTGTGCTGTTAGCAAGACGCAGGTACCTGCAGTTCGTCCGCCGTTACGGCATTTACTTACTTTTAGACCCTTGCAGTTATTAGCAATCGACTTCTTGAAGCTTGACAAAGGTAAAGTACAACACATTTCATGAGTTTTGCAACAAACACATTCATCGACCGACACCATGATTCACTGTAAGTGAATAAACGGCTGCCGTCGTCGTGCTGTAACACAGGCCCTAAAATAGTATGATTTATTCTCGTTATATTTTACATTTGGCATACACAATCGCTCAACTTTACACACAAAGCGTGTATGAGACGTTTTAGTAAATGCTATTTTCTTAAATTACTGTGTAAATTAATTATCTTCGTGCGTTTGTTTTAGTTCGAATACCCACTAATAGCTGAACATCGTCGATCGCTAATTCGGTCTATTCTGGCTTGATAAACTCAAAGTCAAAGTTGGCAGATCTCAGGTAGTTTATATACGGTAAATGATTAATATTGATGACAATGTGCAATTCAAATTTATTGAAAACTCAAATGAAATGTTTATATATTGATGATAATTTATTAAAGATTTGATGCAAAATAGTTAATATTCTTAATAAAGTATAATCTAAATCAAAATTGATTGACAACTCAAAGGAAATGATTAAGTATTGATCATAAATGATGATTTATCAAAGTGCAATCCAAACTCCATTAAAATTATTTATATTGATGATGATTTATTGTGCAATGCAATTGTTAATTTAGTTAATATTTATATCGATAATTTTCCCACCCTTTTATTGTAAATTCAAAACGAGGTATAAAAAGTCTTGCCTAAATATGTATATTATTTAAAAATATTAACAAATAGATGGATAATATTACACAGTATATTGGGAGTTGAATTGGACTTATATTAATAAATTTTATTGAATTGTGAGAAGATAGTATTGATTGATTCTTTCTATTGAAAAGAAATATTGATCCACTGAAGAACCTATTTAATGTTGTTTATATTGTGAACATCCTAAATACATTCAGTAATTAAGCCATTGTATAACTCTGACATGACAATAAATGTTCTTTTTTAACTATTAGTGAAACAATTATATAGGTTCTTCGTTGAGTCAATAGTTGCATTATCTCTTTACTTTCTCCATTGCAATGTATGCATCGGAAGCTGTTCTTCATGACTCCACAATTTTAATAATTTTTAAAAGTTATTTATTGTATCAATTTTAAAACCCCCAAAAAATAAACGCCACCCAGGGAATAAATACAGTGTATATACTGCTGTACAAAAGTTGTGACCTCAAAAAAAAATTTTTTGATAGACCTTCCATGCTCACTGGAATGAGTGCTAATAAATTTTTTTGTAATTTTTTGGTTTAACTGATTTTCCAAAATGACACTAAGATTCTTGAATCATATTGATTGAAGTTTAAAATCCAATTAATTTAATTTAATTTTGAATTTATGTTTTAAGATTTGTATATTATTTATTCTTGATCCATTTCAAAATCTGTTCAATGAATAATTTCTTTATTGTGCCAGTTGTCGTATTAGTTCTTGGCGTGCTGCATTGGCACCTGCAACATGTTGAGGTTGTCTGGCATCATCCTCAACCAAATCGATTTATATCTCCTCTTCTGGCAGTAATGGAATGTGGATGGTCATGTTGTGTAATATAGCAACAGCCATGATAATTTCACAACATCGTTTTGGTGAGTACTGTAAATTACCACCAGAGCGATGAATACAGCGGAAGCGACTCTTCATTACTCCAAAACAGCGTTCGATAACATTTCTTGCACTTGCATGCATATCATTGTAGTTGCGTTCATCTTCTGTAGTAGGGTTGTTTATAGGCACCATCAACCATTCACGTAAAGGATATCCACTGTCACCTATATAATTACCAAAGTAAAAAAAAAAAGATGTTACAGATTTACAATATTCATTCCAATCTAAAAACAAAATGGTAAATTCTGTTCTTCAGTGCTTATGAATAGAAGATGTCTTGTAAAGCATTAAAACATGTTTGGTTTTGATCTACTTAAATCACCCATAACTATTATAAGGCAATGACAGTATAATCTTTCCTCTAATCCATTTTAATTTAACAAAACAATCTTCAATTTCTTTTTCTATTTTATTAATATTAATACATGGTATTATTATTATTATTATTATTATTATTATTATTATTATTATTATTATTATTATTATTATTATTACTACTATTATTATTATTATTATTATTAGGCCCTATTATTATTATTATTTCAATTATAATAATTATTAATATAATATTAATAATAATAATAATCATTAATAATATTATATTATGTTGATGTTATAAAGTAAGCTATGTATTAATTTAACTCTTCAGTTCGTTTTTCTCACATGTAATGTGATGGACGCACCACTATTTTGTGTGTGCCTCTGTCTAAAAAGTGGGAACCAGTACAAACTGTAAACTGATACAGTGAGCCCTCTATTCAGGATTAATGCTAATTACTGTAAATGACATACACTGGATATACAAACTTTTTAAAGTTAACATACCTATCAGGAGGCCGTTGGGGATTAGACCATCTTGGAAGCGTTGGCCGATTGTGGAGTTAGAGAGAATGAAAGGGTCGTGGCAACTGCCTGGATATTTTGCAACAACATCTAGGAATTTCAAGTTGCTGTCACATATGGCTTGAACGTTTATTGAATGGTATGATTTTCTGTTCACGTATACTGTACATGCTCGTCAACAGATGGGGCCTTTATTGCTACATGGGTGCCGTCTATGGCCCCAATGATACGTGGAAATTGGAACTTCCTGAAAAATTGTTGTTGTATTGGTATTTGACTTTCCTGATCCATTGGGAAAGTGATATGTCTGTTCATGGAACGGATAATTGATCTGGTAACATGTTTAATAACCTGACTAACGGTTGGCTGCGACAGCACAAAACTCTGCCCGAGCACATACTGGAAGGTCCCACCATGGAGAAAATAAAATCTATTTTATTTTCTCCATGGTCCCACTTGCGAAAAAGTTCAATGTGATGCAAATTTGCAAGGGGACTTGAACGACTTGTGATCGTTTTGTTTGCCGTCTTAAAAATGGACCGATTTCATGGCATATGTCCAATACAGACAATTTTGGCAGTCTGTACAACTGCCTGAATGTATCTTCTGGACAGTCAAAAGGATTATATCTGTCCCTGAATAGGCGTTCCTTTCTTCGGACTTCTACTACTAGGCCTAGACCTAGCCCGACTTCTTCCTCTAAGCCTAGTTCTTCGTTGGCGTCCATCTGGGAAATTGCGTTAGCGGCGCGCAGATCAGCTTTCAGTTTGTTGGCCTAGCGTGCTCGCACTTGCAGTTGCTGAACTGCCTCTAGTTACATGAGATAAGACGAAAATTTTCGTCTTAAGGCAGGTGTGTTTTCATCTTAAAGTTAAGACGATTTTAAGCAAATTTTAAGCAATTTCTAAGCTAAGCAATATTGATAAATCTGACTTAAGCAAAAAAATGGATTTAAGACGAATTTAAGCAAATTTTCTTGCTTAGCAAGTTTGATAAATCCGCCCCCTGGGCCGCAAGGCACACCCTCATGGGTGAAAATGGAGGCAACTCTATGTGCTTGTCGGTTAACTAACGCCATTCTTAAAGGCAATTTCGAGTCATGCCTATAAAATTCGACAACATACTTCCAGTTAATTTCGTTGCCATCAATCATCAATACGTGGCTCTTAAAATTATTGCATATACTTTTGAGCAAATGGGGAGGATCGAACATAAAGAAGATCTTGTAATTATCAATCCCATCGCCGAAATTGTAAGTTATATAGGGCATTTCGGCAGTTATGCCTAGCGCTGTAAACATACTGCGGTTGTTAGAACCCTGATCTGCTATTACTACCTTTACCATTAAGCCAGTGGCATGTAATCTATTAATACAATCCATTAACAGAAGTTGTAGTGTGGTACCTGGGGTAGCGTCGGAAGCAAGAAAGTACCCCAATGGCTGCTTCTATTTGGAAGACATTCCGTGGGCCATAAAGACCAGTGCCTGCGTCGCAACTTTTTGCGTTTTTCCCAGGCTCCCGTAGTCTTCTAATCCTTCCATTACATCTTTATGTTGGTCATACGTTAACCCAGCCTTTAGACTCATTTCGTCGATGGTGAGGACACATACTTTCTCTTTTGGGCCGTAGAGCAGCGTAATTTAAGCGATTCAAACGTGGAATTATTGAACCCTGGCTGGATCTCAATTCGCTCTAGCCACTTTTGAAGGTTTTTCTCATGAGGGAGTGCAAAGTATTGCCAATTGTCTGTCATCTTTGCTGTAACATCTGCCCTTAGTCCGTCGCCTACAGTTCTTAAGTTGGCTGGAAAAGAAAGCTAAAGCTTTACCGCTCATATACTTTCTGCACTTTTCAAATACATATTTTGTGGGATCATCTCATACATATAACTTCTTCATTTTCTTTCACTTTCTTGTAATTGCTTCATGTTCAGATGATGATCCTTAATGAGTAACAAACATAATTAAAAATGAATATCTGAATTATTTAGTACAAAATATAAAATGTTAATGATGATATTCTATTTTACAAATTATAAGTATTAACAGTTTTAATCTCAAAAGCTCCTATGAGTTCAGTATAATAGAGGCAGTAAATCTAAAAAGATCTATTACTTAATCAGTCGGTTGTTTCTATATCTCCTCATATGAGCTAAAAATGCAAAAACCGGTAAAAACAGAAGAACACAATCGCTGTGGCGCAAAAGAGGGTGAAAGATACTACAAAAATCTAACCTGAATTAATGTCTGGATTGTTACAGAATCATCAGGAGGCTTTTCATAAACGTCCGGATCATCCGCCAAAACTGAATCTATATAATAATTATAAAATAGAAATGAACATGTATTTAGCGAGTTGGATACTGTGGGTGGGTTGCTTTTATACTGTAATTCAGTACACAACTGTCACTATCGACACTTGAAGCCCTCTGAACTATAAATACTTCTCAATAAAAGAAACTACAAAATTCTAACCTGAATTAATTTTGCTAGATTGTGATCCATCTCTTGTTACAGAATCATCAGAAGGCTTATCATAGACGCCGGGCTCATCCGCTAAAACTGAATCTATATATTATAAAATAGTTTGAAGCTTATGACTTAATTGAATTTAGCTATTCAAAATTGTAATTGTTGTTTGTAGAATTTTTTTTTTTTTTGGAATACATTTTTTTCTGCAATTAAAACAATCTATAATAACCTTTGTAATCCAAGAAAGTCTACTTACCCTTCGTAAGTTTTGCTGGTGTTGGGACAATGTCGTCATTTTGTACAGACAATTTTCGTTTCATTGTCACTTTTTCAGGTGTGTTTTCAAATTTTGTAGAAATGGCATTCCATACCAATTCATTAGAATATTTGAATTTGTTTGATTCCTAAAAATGCAAAGAACACAATCTGCATTTCGTACGTAAATAGTTTGCAGACTTTGCTAATAAATCGTCCCTGCCGCAATTTCGGATCCATTTTTCACACCTGTGTAAAATAAGACAATGATACAGAGTACAAGTTGTATTAAACAACAATTATTGTTATTTTCTATTGTATAGCCTATCATAGCATCAATACTGATAAGAATTTAGCTAAAGATGTATTTAAACATAATATAGTACTGTACGATAATTTGATTATTTGATTATTTATATTTGAGATCGCCCTCTAGACCATGTATGCGTCATGCGTATAATTTTAATGCGCGTTTTGCGCCTAAAAAGATAAATTATATTTAATAAGTTAACTTTTTAACTGCTAGACTACTGGCTGTATAGACGTGCCCAGAAGAAGGCTGGATGATGTGTGTTTCTTTATATGTTTCCAAAACTTATTATTTTTCATTTAACCTATTTCTGCAAGACTGGGAAGATGTACTCATCATGGGACATTACTTTGAAAACGTACATCATTTATTGGTATGTATATATTATGCACTTTTGAAAGCGTATTATAAAATATTTCTTTTTGATTTTTTTTTTCTTTTTGTTAGAGTAGCCTACCTATCTAGCCTAGGCTAGGCCTAGGCTGGGGTCCCGCCTATGGGTCTGGCCTAGGGCCAGGCCTATGATAGGCCTATCTAACTGGGTTTATATTAGGCCAAAAAAGATTTGTTTATTTGCCCTCCTCACCCGCCCCCAACTCACTGAAAATAATACAAGTTGTCTAAAAGTTGTTCTAGGTTACCATACTTCTTTACATAAAAGATAGTACGAGTATGTACATACATTTAATTTGTAATAATTTAATTTATAATCTGTATTTATTACCAGTGGAGTTGTATCTCCATACCTAAATAACCCTCATGTTACTTACGATTATTTATTTCGTTTCTTTGCAATACATTTATAGTAAAAAAATTAATATTCCTGGTAGGAAAAATTATATTTATGTAATTCTTTGACAACAAATTGTGCAAAACAATATTTTGCGATGGTTGAAATAAGACAAAAAAAAAAAAAAAAAAAAAAAAAAAAATATCATTGGTCCCTGACCAAACAAGGGACTAACAACAACTCCTAGCTAGCCATCGTAGCTTTCTTTATTAACGTGTATATCGAGGTCAGCTAATAATATTTGCAATTACGCGTATTGTCCAGGTAAGGTCTAACACTCTATTCCTAATTGAATTATTCTAAAGTCACGATGAATTTACTGGCATTTTAATTTTACATTTTAGACCTATTCTATACATAAATAATTGGTTTTTTGGTATAAACAAAAAAGTACTGATTCATAGGAATTAAATTCTATTTTTTTATGAATGCCGAGAATTGATGTAGGAGTAGGCTTAGGACAACCTCAATTTTCATAGTCTTCCAAGCGAAAATTTTATGAACATTTTCTGTGATCACAGTTATTAATTCTGCCTTCCTATATAATAATAGGCTAGACGACTTTCACTTTTTTTTGTTGTTGCAATGACCATTATTGATTTCCATGCCATTTACTACATTTTCTAATTTTCTAACATCTTCAAATTTACAATGCCCAAGAACTCTATGCCAATAATTCAGATTTTTAACAAGACTTACTTACCAACTACTGTCTATACTGCCAATAATGAAATGGATAAAGTAATACAGTTTATCAATAATTCTCATCTGAAACATTTTTCCTGCTTTTGTGATGGTGTTTTCATCTTCACTGAATATCACTGTTGCACCAGATCTCGTCGCTGCTCTTACGCTCATAATGTCGTGTGGATAGGTTGGTATATACAGGGCACTCTTCAACACCGTTTCCACTTCCTTGTTATCTTCATCCAATAATATTATGCGTGCATCTCCTCTCTTCACTGCAACACCATTTGCTCTACTACCGTCCGCTAGTTCAATACTGTGAGTGATACTTTCAAAATTCTGATCAAAGCTTAAGAATTTGTCTTCATCAGTAACAACATGTGAAGTACAACCTGTGTCAACAAGAATACCTTCGAGTTGAATAGCGCTTTCTGATGCTTGGAAGAAAAACGAGTGTTCAACTTCTTCGGTTCCATCCTCTGCTTTCTTAATTTTGTCATTAGGCTTGTGTCTGAAGCAATCTTTGTCTAGGTGATTTCCCTTTTTGTGGTATTTGCATTTTACTCTGTTGTAATCTGGTTGTATATTATACTGGACGGCATAAGCCAGATTAGGATTATATAACCCTCGCATATTGCATTCTACAAGGATAGTCAACAGTCCTGTATATGAATATGATGGCAGTACAATAATGGGGCGCAAAATTTGAATTATTAGATTGGGAAAGGATGCAGGTACGTTAACTAGCTAATAATAAGCAAATGCAATAATTTATTATATTTATAATGAAAATAAAATAAAATTTGAA